AAATTCTTACATTTAAAAGCACAGCATTGCACAGATTTAAAATACTTTAGTCCCAGATTTGTAGTATAATCGGACCTAACTAATGGTTTTGATGCAAAAAAAAAAAAAAGGAAAAAGTCTACTACAAAACTGTATTTTGTTTCAGCAGTGCTTCTTTTAACCTAGAGAGCCTGCAACATTTATTGACTCCATTTCTTCACTGAGGCCCAACATTGACGGGTTTTGCTGTTTTGGCTCCATCATGAACATCCCACACATCCGGTCTCATGAAACCAGCCCACACAGCCCCACGTATGCACTGTTAAAAATAAGCCTTCCAAAACAGAGGGTGGAGGATGGAGGAAGGAGGAATATAATATCGACTCATACTTTTTGCAAATGTAGACTGTTCCTGTAATAAAGTCTTTGTATTTATTCAGTTATATGTCACTATGCTTTACATATATTGTATCCTTAACAGCAGTTGGCTTCATATTGTAATTTGTAGCACAGTTATGGAAGTAGACATGAGCTACACTTATTTTTGCACTCCATACTTCATTTTGTTACGATTAGTCTTAATTGTGGGAGACTTTTTTTTTTTTTACCACATGTTGCACAAAGCATCACTTTAGGAAGTGAAGGTCCATGCTTAAATGCTCAGAATTAACAGAAAGAAATTGTAAGTGATAATAAAAAAATAAATGCTAAAAGAGGATTTTTTTTTTTTAAGCAAAAGCTTGTATGGCCACAGAAATACTCTCTCTCCGAGCATCAGGGGGCTTTAATTAACAGAAGCCTGCAGTCGATTCCCCTTCAACGCCGACCCTGCCCCTGGCTTTTCCTGCTTTCCCAGAGCAGAGCAATCATTGACTGTTTAGGGCCCCTCTAGAAACAGAAAAACAGGGCATTGGATTTGTAGGGAGTGATGCTTAGAACATGGAATGGCCATGTATATCATTAGTGTCTGCTCCCCTGTTACACTTTGGTAATTTGCCCTTCAAGTACACAGACAGGTCTTAATCCGTGATGTGATTGGGACAAGTTTGCAACAAGTCACTTATTAAACCACGTGTAGATGGTGTAGAGTGAACACCTCAGCAGGTCATTCATAAAACACACAGTTTTTTGGATGCAGACACAGTCGGTTTATTTCAACAATGACATGAGCAGCACAAATAAACAGGTACTCTGATAAGAGTATGTAATCTAATATAAAAAAGGACTGAAAAAGGACCATGAAAATCTGATAGCTCAGGTAGAGTGGGGGATTTATCAAGACAAGAATTGTTTTATTATAAACAAGTCTGCCTTATAACCCTGAAATCTGGTTAACAGATGTAGGGACATATAGAAGAAGAAGAACAAAACTTTATTTACTGTCAGATCAAATTGCATACTAACATCCTAATAACTAAGTTAATGCTGATGTGCCACATGCATTAATGAGGGCACGGCTTACATTTTTCCCTGCATGCTGTGAGAAACTGCAGGTATTTATTAAAGTCAAAGGAAAGAATCAGACTCACAGGAACCTGTGAGGAACAACAATTATTCTATCATGTTTGAGTTGTATTTTGATATTTCAATATGTCACTTAGATACACAAAATACACAAAAGTTAATGTTTGATGATGGCGAGCTGTGTGTGTGCAGATTGGTAAGTAAAGGCACACCGAGGTTTTTCTCTTTGTATTATGGACCGAACTCTGCAAATAGACCATATGGCCTGTATTAGACTACTGTGCTAATTGTTACATTGATGGCAGATGTAGTGTTACTTGAAAATAAAAGTATTAAGGGCCAAAATTATGAGGGGCTTCACTCTTAAAATTCAGGGTGAGGACTTGGTGAAGAGCTACGAGAGAGCCAGAGCTTTGGCACCATGCTCACAGCTTTGAGCGAGCCACCCGCACCAATTACACGCTCATTCTGCTAACAACTCCCCCCTGGCATTCCAAATAAATTAACACTCCTAGCAGCAGCTATCACCGGCATTCTAGGCTCAGTGGAGTTAGAGCTTAGAGTTGGAGGGGGGTTTTTTTGGTTGTTTTTTGGTGTTAAATGGTGGCCTAACAGCAGTAAGATGCACACTGTAATCCTTAGTACCTGTGATTAATTAAATAACTAATTAATTTAATAGTACAAAAGTTTTGTGTTAGCATAGACCAACAGAAAATCTGGCCAAACACTAGTTGTGTTGACAGCTGTAAGGTAATAAAATCAACTTGAGGTATTCTTGACAGTATTCAACAGGATTCAAAAAGATACTTCTCAACCAAAATGGGAATATGACCTCAGTAATGTTAGTCTGCCTCTTTAAATATCATTATTTAAAGCTTAAAATATCACAATCTGTGCTTCCGATGTTTAAAAGCAATGTGACACTCTTTGACGTTAATATTCAGGTTGGGACGTTTATGGGCCAGCTGTTAAATATGGTGATTAATTAAATAATACTGGGACTTAAACTCCAAGATGAGGTAGAGGAAAAAGGGGGCATAAAAAAAGGAAGAGTATAATTGCAAATGACAAGCCTGTGGTTGCTGGCATTCGTCAGATCAGTGTTTTTTGCAGCAGCACATCATACAAAGCTCGAAGTGCTGCTGTTGGTCTTGTGAGACAGCAAAAAATGGATTCTCTAATGGAAAAACAATGTATGCTTGATGGAAATGTTACAGTGCGAAGTTCACCCACTAGACTCAGATTATTGTGCAAAGCATCGTTTGGTTTTAAAGAGAATTTGCAGTTTTGATCAGACAGATCCAATCTAGCAAAAAACCCGTGCATACACACAACACACTCATGCAGGCATTCGTATAAATGCAGAGTGAGTCACAAACCCAATGGACATGGTGAATGTCCTGTTCAGCTCACATTGGTGCACCTGGTTTGGCCAATGAGACCAGGGCATCTGGGGGGGATGCAATGGTTTCCATGGAGATGCAGGGACATTAAAGGTGCAGCTTCCTCTAACAATTAACGCCGTTAAACATTATATCCTCAACGCGGAGTGCAGAAGCGGGTATTCTGTTCTTCTCATCAGATAGGTTTAATTTCAGCTGGTGTATTGTTTGTTTCTCAGTATGTATTTCTGCATCTCTCTTTGTGCTGTGTATGTGTGCTTTTTCAGTTTAATTCAGTTTAGGTGGAGATCGCAACCTTTGGCCCTTCTATACATCACATGGTTTGAAAGTGATTGCGGTGCTATGGAAACAAAAGGCATCAACTCTTGATCTCTGATCCACTCTTTCATGCCTTGCCAGCAACCCCAATAATCAATAGCGTGTGGACATTGTTAGAAAAGGGTGGTGCCTCCATTCAGCTGACAGCTGATGGTCTGTAAAAGTAGACCATCCCTTATCAATAAGTGATT